TTACAGAACCTTCTATTCCCAAGCGGTCACCCATCTAAATACTGACCGGTCTCAACGTTGCTTTATTTTGGTGATCGTACGGGAGCCGGTGTTTCAATGTAATGTGACCGTAAGCTGTTGCATGCAGAGATAGATAGATAGTTAGATAGATAGATATTAATAGAAATAGATGTGAACAGAGATAGATAGTAAAAGAACGAGAAAGATAGTAACATAATGAGATAGAAAGATAAATATGAACATAGATAGAAAGATAGATAGACAGACAGATAGATAGATAGATAGATAGATAGATAGATAATGAACAGACTGAGATAGATAGATAGATAGACAGACAGACAGATAGATAGATAGATAGATAGATAGATAGATAGATAGATCATGAACAGATTGAGATAGATAGATAGATAGATAGATAGATAGATAATGAACAGACTGAGATAGATAGATAGATAGACAGACAGACAGACAGATAGATAGATAGATAGATAGATAGATAGATAGATAGATAGATAGATCATGAACAGATTGAGATAGATAGATAGATAGATAGATAGATAGATAGATAGAACTATTAACAGGATAGATAACACTTGATAGAATTGAAGAAAATCGATCAGGGAAGAATCATTTTAGTTATCTGTTCAACGAAGTAGCGGTTCTGGGGAATTATCCTTCTAACTGCCACTCACTTCTTACAAATGGGATAAAATGGAATGAGACATATTCGAGCCTCTAGACGTGACATGGCGCATTCTAGATGTAAAGGTCTGAAGTGGTAGAACTAAGAAATGTAGCCCGTCTGAACATTTGCTTTGGAAATAGCAATAGAGCAATGATAAACTTGTGATATTTCGTCTCAGGGAAAGAGGTTGTAGGGTTGAAAATAATTAACGGCTCATAAAGCCGCGAAAATAATTACGGACACTGTCAAGGCTGGATAGAAAGTATTGGAGAGCTCCAGTCAAGATATGCCAACAATACTCTACATTTTTCTTTGATTTGTGTAGACTATCTATCTATCTCTGTTCACATTTATTTCTATTCATTATCTATCTATCTATCTATCTCATTCTATTGCTTCCTTCCTTTCTTCCTATCTATCTATCTATCTATCTATCTATCTATCTATCTCAGTCCATTCATGGATTTTTTTCTATATCTATCTAGAGTAATGTTTTTACAAATAAAATGGCTAAAAATAATGGAAGTACAAAAAAAAAAAAAAAGAAAATGCCAACGTTCAATAATATCAAATACGATTACGGCCACAATGTGTTGACAGTGTTCATTTCTCTAGATACATGCAAGAAAACAATTCATAAAAAAATTTATATATATATATATATATATATATATATATATATATATTATAATATTTTTTGTTTTAAAATATTATTCCTTCGTTACATAAGAGCTCTCATGTTTCAAAAACGAGAGCCGAAAGAAGATGAAACGGGACGAAACACCTCAATTCAACTTCATTTTAATAATTATTTGGATGGTTTCGGCTCTCGTTTTTAAAACATGAGAACTATTATATAGCGAAGGAATCATATTTTTTAAACAAATAAAATAAGCTCTACTTCTGTATGGAGCACTGTCTTCTTAAATATAAAAACAAAAATACTAAGGAACTCCGGATTATGCACCAAACGTGTTCTTTTCCATTTTCTGCATACTTGCACTTATATATATATATATATATATATATATATATATATATATATATATATACAGGTATATAATTGGTTTATACGGAATGAATTCCAACAACTAATATATATATATATATATATATATATATATATATATATATATATATATATATATATATATATATAGGTATATAATTGGTTTATACGGAATGAATTCCAACAACCAAAAACCTTTTTTCATAAAGGGCCTATTTTTCAGGGCGGAAGAAGTCAGATACTGCCTGACACTGAGCAGATACAGGTAACAGTCATTCAGCATATAAAACGCGAAGTGGTTAATATTTTAAAACACTATATATACCCTGACGGGCCAGGACCAATCGTATACGTGTTTAGTATCATGAAGGACCGCTACCTTAAGCCGATGAAGCACGCGCGTACCTTACTCTTTTTGAGTAAGGTCGAGTCTACTTATTATCTCTCAGTTGCGTCTCTATCTTTGGACACAGTGCGCTCAGGGACTTCTCTGTCACAGGACAGAGGGTCAACTAAGGAAAATTATACTGAAGAGGTGCTCAGCCCTGGGGAACAGCTGCCCGAGGCCGCGCCCTCCCATTGCACCAGACGGAGGGATCGGTGCTCGCACCGAGGCCAGCGCAACTGAGGGGAATTTTTGTTCCTATCCCGGGAGTACGCGCTCGGGTCTCCACCTAAAAATAGACCTTGTGTTACATCTCGTGCAAGAGGGATTGGGGGGGGGCAGAGTAAGCTGTAAGCTTGGATGTACAGCTGGTGTAAGCTTGGATGACTTAGGATTGTTAATTAAGAGCTGAATTCCAATTCTAGTTCCACCATCCGTACATCGAAGCTTACAGAACCTTCTATTCCCAAGCGGTCACCCATCTAGATACTGACCGGACTCAACGTTGCTTTATTTTGGTGATCGTACGGGAGCCGGTGTTTCAATGTAATGTGACCGTAAGCTGTTGCATGCAGCTGAAACATTAGATATTCATCCCATGTACATTCGAATCAAAAGCCTCGATCCGACGAAGCTATTTAAGATGTTGATTCAGGATTTTAGGTCAATGTTTTAGTTTTGTAGCAATTGGCGGTGTTAGGTGAAACTACCCCCATTACAACCTATATCAGTTCAATTTTCTTATCTCCTCTACTAAATTTGTTATAACTGATCTATAAGGTGATGGATTCCAAGGGTTTAGTATTTACTAATATCACATACTCGAATTTTGTTATGATGGAATCAGGGTACTTGGTAACACTGATTTCACTTTAATTCTAATTTATATTTTCTCTTTTAGAAAGCGAAACATTGTCTTAAGAAATATATTAAGTTTGCATATATATATATATATATATATATATATATATATATATATAGTGTGTGTGTGTGTGTGTGTGTGTGAAAATATATAGAAAATAGGAAAGAACTCGTTAGGTAAGTAATCCAAAGTTCTTTAGGATTTTTGTTATTATTTTTAAAAAAACAGTTAAGATGGAACAGAGCTTGGTACTTTAATTCAATTTAATTCAAAGAATTATATTGAAGTTTTCGCCTCTTGTTTTGAAACATGAGAACTCTTAAGTAGCGATGGAAGCATATTTTTAAATAAATAATTATATATATGTATATCTATATCTTTATATATATATATAATTATTTTTTATAAAAAAATATTTATAACATAACTATGTTATAAAATCACTACAAAAATAGTCATTTTGTTTCAACACCCTCGGTGTCTTATCAAGTGATGATGTCGAATATAAAATTAATATATATATATATATATATATATATATATAAAATAAAATATATATATATATATATATATATATATATATATATATATATATGAAGGATGATTTGGGAGTTGGGGGGGGCGTGAAAATATTTATTTTCTTAAAGCTATCCAATAGATGTATTTTTTTAAAGCATTTTACCCCAAGCAAGGCGGGAGTGCCACTAGTACACAAGGAGTTACAGTGTGTGTAATTAAGGCAAAAGGGGCTGGGTAAAGTTGGGACTGAGTAAAGGGTAAAAAGAAGAACGGGAATTACGGCATTAGTAGGTGTCGATTGACATTACATTTAAATTTTTTTCAAGATTATAGTTATCAGGGAAGCAAGTAAGAGGAAGGGAGTTCCACTGTCGGGAAGCGCGAGTGAATAAGTAGAAGAGGCGGTTACATTTAACTGTTTCGACAGTAAAAGGACGCGATCGAGATGCTAACCTAGTAGCACGCTTAAATTCATGCAGTCGAGGCACCAGTGAAAATAGTTCGCCAGGGCAAATACCACGAAAATATTCATAGAAAAGACAGAGGGAAGCCATATTACTTCGGTGAGAAAGTGACTGGAGTCGAGATGCCAGGTCAGGACCGATCACATTGCATATCCGTCTTTGGATTTTGTCGAAAACCCCGAGATGAGCCGCTGGGGTACCAGGCTGCATATGGCAACAGTATTCCGTGATAGTCGCGAAACAATTCTGTCGAAGAGCGGCCTACATTAACAGCCATCTGAAAAGAAAACCGGACAAAATGATTTTAGTCGATAATATGCAGTAATATTTAAAGGAATAATTGTTTGGGGCGGAAAAGAGCGTTTTATATCGCGGGGAAATTATAGTAATTTGGTTTCATTGCTATCCAGCACCTCATTAATATTATTAATGATGACTAAATTTGGAAATGATTGATGGAGGGTGGGGCAGTAGTTATTCCTTGGTACTTTTGAGCTTATTTCGAATAATTAAAGACAACAAGGTTCGCGGGAAAAATAATTGTGTCACGTCTAGAGGACTATTATTATATTTGTGAAAATTCGATGGAAACTTTTGCATAAACCTAATAACTACATTCGGTTGAAAAGTTCTATCTATCTATCTATCTATCTATCTATCTATCTATCTATCTATCTCAGTCTGTTCATATCTATCTATCTATCTATCTATCTATCTATCTATCTATCTCACTGTTAATATCTATCTATCTATCTATCTATCTATCTATCTATCTATCTATCTCACTGTTCATATCTATCTATCTCACTGTTCATATCTATCGATCTATCTATCTATCTATCTATCTATCTCACTGTTAATATCTATCTATCTATTTCACTGTTCATATCTATCGCAGTCTGTTCATTATCTATCTATCTATCTATCACAGTCTGTTCATTATCTATCTATCTATCTATCTATCTATCTATCTATCTCAACCTTCTATCTATCTATCTCAACATGTTATCTATCTATCTATCTATCTATCTATCTATCAGATCAACCGCAGTCAAGATTATAGTCATTGTGAACTCCATTTTCAATGCCGGCATATGAATTTCACAAATGAAAAAGTGATTTATTTGCTAGGTTTTGAAGATTGAGAGCTGCTTTTTTTTAATTATTACGTCTGGGCTTTGAAGTGTT